TATCGAGGAGAGATATCTGCCTGAAAACAACTACTTCTCCGGCTAATACCCCGATAAAATCAATCGAGTCCCATGAACTTTGGTGTTTGGGTCGGATCTATCCTGCACTGATGAGGGATATTACTTCGGAACTGATTTGTAGGTGATCTACTCGAAAAATTTCAGCATGGTTCTGCTGCTGAATGAACAAGAAATATCTGCAGAAGTAACCTCTATGAGGTATCCTACGTGAATGTCCGTCAGATATAATTCGATATCCAGCGTGGTATTAGCCGGAGAAGTAGTTGTATTCCAGTGGCTAGTTACCAGAACTTATATTTAGGTGGTTGGGAGGAAAGAATATTTAGAGATTTCTTTCGGAAATATTTATTTTCAGGTGATAGGCGTCAGATATTTTCAGGTGATAGGTGTCAATCCATCAACCTACAGTGTAGGGAGTTGTTGGTATGGTAAATGTAACCTGGTAAATGTAACGCTGTTTTTCTAATATCCTTAGGAGACGAACCAAAATAAATACTTGAATCCATAAGAATCTATCTTTCTACTTATTTCTTCTATTTGTCGGTGAATATTTGCCAATACCTTTGATAACCAATTTTTAGTTGAATGTATTGATAACACCGTGGTGCTTATCTCTTCGACAGTGAATTTTTATAAAACCGTGTCAGAGTGCGACAATAATCAATTCCAAAATCACTTCTTTCGCAGCACACAGTATCACTGCGTGTAATACTAGTCATCAGACTTTCTCATACGATGCCATGACATTTCTATAGTCTTTTCTAAAACCAACAAAATTGTATGTAGCAGAAGCTCAAAAAGCCAACAAAATATGCAGCACACGCATCTATTGTTGCACGCATATGTTGTTACATGCCCTCGTCACGTTGAGACAACCAGCCCCAAAACACATTTCAAAACATAACCCCCTGAAATAAATCTGAATCGATATTCATTCATAAAAACGGATAGCTATATCATGAAATACAGATGTCACATCTACATGAAATAATATATATCTACGGAAAATTTTAGTATACTAATGAGAATCAACACAAATGCACAGAAATTTACTTTTGTTGTCCGAAAAAAAAAAAAACAAATATACGTATCTCCCTCACACAGTATGGGAGTGAACTGAAGTGACGTTGAGCTGGAGATATTGCTCTCGCGATCCTTCGATTTTGTTCGATAATCTCTTTCGTTCGTTCAATTTTCCAATATGGCCGCTGTGACAACCAACCCGTGAGACAACCATACCCGGTCTTCCCTACCGTGGAGACGCATGCCAAAATAACTAGTACGCCATCTCATGGCAGTCCTATGTATGAGATTTAGAATTATTTTATTTAACTAACCATATATTCTCATCAGAACTGAACGAGCATGCAAAATTTCAACCCAAATGGTGAAGGAAAACTGCTTTTAAATTAAATTGAAATACATACAAGCATTGCAATATTTCCATTTCACTTCATTTTGGAAGATATGACATTTCATGAAATGATTCCGACAATGAATGGAATAAAGATCGCTACCATCATTTCTTCAATTCGAACAGGATTTTTCCATACTGATTCTACACAAAGAAATTGTTTACTCCTCTTGAAAGAACGACGTTCACAGAGAAAGTTTCAGGAAATATAAGAAAATATAATTCATATAACTCACTCAATGAAAGATTCAAAACATCTGTGAGACTAAAAATCGAGTAAATTTTTATACAAAAAAGTTCATGATCCATCACCGAATACTGGTTCGATACTTTTCCCTTGATCGTTGATGAAATAAAGTGATTGTAAAGATATTGTACTGCAACAATTGCAACAGGTTTCACTATCGATACCTAGTTCCATAAAGGAATTTACATTTATATAATCAATTTATGGAGCCATTATTTTTGCCCTCCTACGTAGGATCATGAAATATCAATTATTTTCATTAGGAAAGGTCCATTAATGGCGGACTATTTTGACGAAATGAAGAGACTACGAATGAAGAAATTCTGTTTTGAAATTGACTGTCGAATAATACATGAATATAGAATGTGTTCATGAATTCAAATTTGAAAAAAATCTAGGTGAATATCGCGGTATCATAATTTGGGGTAACTCCTCAAAGTCACTGCAAATCTTTCGACAACAAAAAAAGGCCCTGAGAATAATTTTAAATTGTAATAGCAAAGAACATTGTCGTCCTTTATTTGTTCGCCTCAAAATTTTATCGCTACCTTCCTTATACATATATGAGACTCTTATAGAAATACATAGAGAAAAAAGAAATTTGGTAACACAATCTCAAGTACATTCATATGATACAAGACGATCAGATTATATCAGAACTCCCAGGTACAGGCTTACAGTCTCCCAAAGAAATTCACCAGACTATCATGTGTATAATATATTACCATCTGATATCAAGTTTTCTGAGAGACAAAAACTCTAAAAAATCCCTCCGCACATTATGTTCAAACTGATGTAGGATGTTTCCTTTGCAAAATTAACGTTTAGTGAATCAAACCTATCCAAACATTGTTTCTACTGTTTGATTTAATAATGAGCCGAATTAGGTTTACTGCATAATTTTTGTTCTTGACTACCGCTGGCGAGATTCTCATCTGAAATAGTTTTTATAAAATTAACTTTTTTGGATGTCATTCAAAGTGAATAAATTACATCAAAAATCCCTCCTTACAGACGATATCATCAATACTGACTTGAATTAATTCAAAATCAGTTTGTAACGTTGACACCAACTAGTGAATTCTTCAATGATTTTCATCGATAACTCGTTTTTCTCAGAAACAGTGATTGAAGTATCGTCAGCATACATTGATACATACATTGATAATAATCAAGAATAACAATGAACCCAAAACAGATCATTGTGGAACAAATAATTTCACATGATGAGTAATTGATGTGATTCCATTACATTCAATCACCAAACTAAGGTTTTCCGCATACAGGACTTTATTAAACACGACGCATTATTCGAAGAGCCCATTACCAGTATTTTTTTTCATAAAAATTCAAAAACTTACGAGAAAGAGTATCGAATGTTTTTGTTGGACCAGAAAAGGTGGAAAAACTCTTCCTGAAACCATGTTGATTATTGCAGAATAGGTCGTTTGGTTCAATATAGATCAGAATTCTCCTACCTACTATTTCATCAAGAAGTACTGAAAAAGTGAAAATCTACGAAATCTGCCTATAGTTATCAATTTCTGTTATCGTACTTTTTATGCGCAGCTGAAAAACATGAGCTTCCTTCAATTCATCAGGAAAAAATTCCCCATGGATGGACTGGTTCGGCAACAAAACTGATGATTCAATAAATAGTTCAATAATTTATTTTACAGTGACAATGGATATATCCTCAATATCAGCTGAATTTTCGTTCATTATTCTTTATCAATTTAATCAATTACCATTACACTGGCACAGGAAAATCCCTCCACTGAAAAACCTGAAATGACATATTCGTTTATAAAACTAAAAACTTCAAATTTTCAGTTCAGTGAATTCACAATACAAAATCAAGGCTTCTAGACTATTTATGGGCAGATTCTGTTATAATATCATCAGTTGAAATGATACATCTCTGTGAATTGCCATTAGGGCCAACCCGGTCAACCTCTCTCACCCACAAGAATTCCGTAGGTAGGATTTTAAGCATCTAAGTGTGGTAGAATCGACAAGATGTTCAACAACATATAAATGTTGGGATACCCTCAATGGTACAAGAAGGCCGGTTCGAAGACATCATTTTTTGATTTCTAAAATGTAGAATAGTTAAAAAAATATATAAAATTCAAAATCTTCTTGAATTCTTCCACCAGGTTCGATAACGGGTATTTGCCCAAGAAATGTTGTATAAAACTGCCCGCAATTGAATAACAAATATTTGATAGAATCAACTATAATTAGCTGGATTATCGAAACGCATCCAAAGTTATTTCAGATCGCTAGAAAAAGTTGGTACACAAATAATAAAGGTGTTTGAAGTTACTGCTAATAATCATGATGCCTTTATATGGGCATGCCTATTTGCTCATAACTCAAGAAAAATATTACAAATAATGAAGATATTCTGCCTTGGTAAGTCCATTGTAGCACGCTATAATTTTATTTCGGCTACATTAATGATTTTAAAATTACCAAAATTGTTGTTATCGAAACTCTCTTTCGCCCCGTATCTTTGAAACAAAGCGCCCTATCAAAAATCACCAGAAGACGAAATATCCTTAGAATAGTCCAAGGAATAGTCGCTTAATTTTTTGTCGCATGTTCAATAAACACCCTGTATAAAACAATAATGAATTTTGATGGTTGCTCATTTGCTTTTTGTTCAATTTTTTTTTCAAATAAATATTGTATTTCTGAAATGTTCTTGGCCAGAACTTTCTCAAATAGATTCCATAACTACGTCAAACTAGTCTGTTTAGAATGTCGCAAATTTTTAAAACAATAATGAATTTTGATGGTTGCTCATTTGCTTTTTGTTCAATTTTTTTTTCAAATAAATATTGTATTTCTGAAATGTTCTTGGCCAGAAATTTCTCAAATAGATTCCATAACTACGTCAAACTGGTCTCTTTAGAATATCGCAAATTTTTGTTTTACCCACAAGAATTTTTCTTCCTTTTTATCCTTTGGTTCAATCACCAAATGATCATTTCCAAGAGGAAGAATGAACTGAAAGATTGAACAGTTTAATTTTTCTCTTGAAGTGATTACTCATTAACTGAATTGGTAATAATAAAAATGAATTATATTAATTAATTTCCTGAATAGGTCAATATAATATCCAATATCATTACATGATAGTACTATTATAATATCTCCTGTCTTTGGTTATTCATAACAAAAACCCAATTCATTTCATTTTGTGGAATAGTTTCCAAAATAATTATATATCCATATTCAAATAAGTAGTGGACCTTTCCCATTAAATGAATGAAAACATGTTATTGATGAAATTATATTAATTACAGACATCAAATGACAAGAAAAAATAACACTTTGAATATAATTATCACATCTATTGGTACAGGAAAATGAAGAAACATCCTCTCAGGTATCTGAAAACAAAATTAAAATAATGAAAGTATTTATTCTATTCCATAATAATATATAGAAATAAATTCAATTCCTAGTTTGATATAGAATCAAATATCAGCCAACTCGTACCAGGACATTTTCCTTCCAATAACGTTCATCATTATCATTTCAAACTATTTGACTGAAAAGTAATTGACCTGATATTTTCAAAATTTCGATACCATATAAATAATGAAACATGTATGAAAATTATATATTCAACTGATGAGCCGAATTTGTAACATCTGATGTAGGATGAATCTATTGAAACTTCATTTCGACTTCATTCTCGAAATTTCGGTTTCAATCCCAAAATTTGGAATACAATTCAGAATTACGCTTTTTCTCTTGATTTCAACTTTTCAACTTCCATTTCAAAATTACGCCTTCAAAACCCTTATCCATATTTCTTTCAACTTGAACATCCAAGATGGTAACTCTTCATCATTTTCGATTTCATGTTTGGGGATACTTTGTTGAGACAAGTCTTAAAATTTCTTATATTGCTCATATTCGTATCGAAAATAGCAAATACATTATCTACATTTCGAATCCAGTTTTGTGGAACGTATTCAACTCTCCTCTTTCTTTCATTTCAAATGTGTTTATGAACAGATCAGTCACGAGAGGAAACAACAAGTTGCCCATTGCCATACTGCTTGTAAAAACAGTAAGCGAACTGTGTGAGCCGAATATACTCCTCGACAACTTCACCACCTAGTTTAAGTGTTTCATGAATATCTCTTAGGTACTCGATTGTTTTTTAAATCAAACACAATCAGATTCGCTGTTTTATTAGCAGCATGAGGGTACGGCAATGGGCAACTCGTTGTCTCCTTTCATGGCTAATCTGTTCATGAGCAGATTTCAAATGGGAGCAGAAGAGTTAGTTGACCCGAATAGAAACAATGTGAAAGAATTGGCTCAATAGCTGATTTTCAAATATGCAGTTCACGTATGAAATTAAAAATAACGAAGGGTTGATGTTATTCTTATTGAAAGTAACGCTGATAAGAATATTGAATTTTGTGTTTATAGGAGAAATACTAGTACTTTCATATACCGATATTCCTGACAGCTCAAACCATTGTTCATCTTGAAAAATGTCGGAACTACATTTTCTTACAAGTAGGCTGGTCACGCTGAGCAGAGGAAAATATTATTTCGGAAATAGCTGAAAGTAACGGTTATCTTTTAAACATAATGTATGAATTAATTGGGAAGAGAAAACTCAGAGAGTGTCTTCAGGAATCCTCGATTTCTCAAAAAAGTCAAGATTCAAACTTCAAGCTCTCCCATAAGAACCAAATTACACAAAAGGATTTGTTCAAGTTTTCAAAAAATTCAATACGGAAGTTGCTTTCAAAACTACTCATACACTTTAACAAGTGGTCGTGAATCCCAACGACAAGATGACAAAAAAAAATCTGGGATTGATGAAAAAAGCTGTGAGGAGCGCGATGAAAAATATGTCAAGAAAACTGACTGTACTGTAATAGCTTGTTTGAGTTTTATGAACGATGACAAAGGTTTCATACCTAACAGCCTACTTTTCGCATTCCTACGTAATCACAAGTGAAGAATAGGTAAAATTCAGATATCAGTCATGTAGCAAATAACTTTATATATTGGGAATCAATTAATCAATTAAATCACCTCCTCACTATGTAATGTAATGATTCGTACAGATAGGTATCAAAACATCAGCATAGTTAGCAAAATTCGCGTCAATTCGTGTCGAGAGTCAGCATTTTTGTTCTGGTACTTCTCATTAAATTGAAGTTGTTATTTTGAGATTGAAATTGAAATTTCGAGTTTGAAGCCGGAATTTAGATTTTGAAATCGAAATTTCCAGAATGAAGTCAAAATTGCATATTTAAAGGCGTAATGTCAAGTTTACATTGAAAGGAACAAAATTTTTGTTTTGGTGAGGAAAAAGTGTTTTCAATGGATTCATTCCATGCGAGAGGTTTCAAATTCTATTCATTCAATTCAAGTCGTGATCTTGAGGTTGAAGTTGAAATTTCTATTTTGAGAATTTCGGAACCGAATTCAAAATTCCGAGTTCGAGGTCAAAACTTCGGAATTATTGTTGAAATTTACAGATCAATCCCAAAATAATGAAGTTATTCTCAAAACTTCGTAATTTAAATCAAAATATCGAGTTAATAGTCGTAGTTTCGAGTTTCAAAGTCGTGACTTTCAAGAAACGAAACAAATATGTGGCCCTTCTGCGCTTCCATTTATTATTATAGTGGACATATTGGAAATTTTCTGATACGTCTGAGTTTTTACAATTTTTCTTACGGAAAGTAAAATATATCATTCTCCATGGTCATAATGAACTTTTCCCATTACCAAACGTATCAACAGTCGTTATCGAATAACAATTGTGAAAGAAACATTTTTTTTCTTGAGAAACAATATGATTTAGAAACAATACCAGGTCTAGGTCACACGAAATCTAATTTAATGTTAAATATACCTTGTATTCATGAGTGTGTTCGAATATATTGTTTCATGTCTTTCCAACGATTTCAGGTAATTTCAAATAAACTGAATTGAGGTGACTTACTTGGACTACTCAATGGTGTAATCCCCGAAAACCGGGTCCAATTTCAATTCCATTCCCATAGTGGTGGTTATGATTGGTGATGTGGTATGGTACTTTTTTCTCTACAACGACAGTGTATGGTACCTTTACTGGGTAAGGCTTATAAACAGTCACTGGATAGGGTTTCGGGTAAGGTACTGGATGAGGAACAGAAACTGGCACCTTTATTGGTACTTTGACTGGGACAGGAACTTTTTCAAACACTGGATAAGGAACTGGTTTCTCAACAGGAACAAGGTATGGTTTCGGTACTGGTACCGGATACGGGCGGTGAACAGGAACCTTGACTGTAACCTGAAAATTCAATGAAAAATTAGGTTCAGATAATTATTATCCATTTCTTCACCTTGTAAGGTACTGGAACATGTTTGACAACAGGAAAAGGTACAGGATGAGGCACGGGATATGGAATTTTCTTTTCGATAGTTATTGCTTTAATTTGTTCATGATGTCCAAAACTGTCTTCGATATCATGACCTCCGAAATCGCCTATACCGTAAAGTCCTCGTTTGGTGTGTTTTTTCCTTTCGATATCTCTGTCTTCCGCCAACACTACTGCGGCTATGCATAGGAAGACCTAGAAAAAATTTAGTTTTATCTATACTGTTCAACTAATGGATCCCAAACGAAATAATATTTCGAAATTGGTTCTTGATTATTAGAAAAATCGCTGAAACAGTGAATAATATAACGTTCAACTTTCAATATTTACTAATATTCGAAGGTGAATTTTCTCTTTTTTTAAGATTTCAGTATGCAGTTGAAATAATTTTGGCACTGAAATATTTTCGGCACTGAAAAAAGTATTCATGGCCAATGGTATCGATAAGCAAAACAAATACGAATAATGTACATTGATTGATACATATTTAAAATGAACCATTTTATAGCATATGTGGTTTATGGAACCGTCATGTTGTATTATCAACAATAATATGAATTTTCGTTAACAAACCCATCGGACACATGCCAGGTACGTCTTTGGTGATTTGGTGCCACAATCAGTGCAAAATGATTGAAGTGTTGCAAAGGGATGAAAACGAAAAAGCAGCGTCAGCGAAACAATACTTGATGGTGCAATTCCTTTTTTTTGAATGGAATACATACTGTTCCCAACAATACATTCCAGCATTGTATCCTAAAAATTCAATTTTCATAAAACTTCTTCAAATGTATACAAGAAGTTTTGGAAAAAGTATTTCTCACACGATTATGATAGATTGGTAATGTAAAGGAATGATAGGCACTGCCTTTTATTATCTAGACGATATTAAATTGGAATTAAAAGAGTTGCGTCTCTCGCCTGGAGATGTCCACAAGAGTGTTGAAAAGCAAGCACATAACTGGATAAAAAAGATGCAGCGAACGCGTAGATAAGCTTGAAGAAGTACATTTCATACAAGGATTTATAGTGTTGAAAGCCCTAGGGTATCCATCAAGGATATTTTCAACAAAATATTGATGTGTTCTCTGGTTTTAGGAGAGTTATTTCGAATTGACAATGTGTTAGCTCCTATGAGGAGTGATAATAATAAATTGTGAACTAGTGCTACATCCTCCATCCAAAATATTTCACGGTTTAGCTCTGTTCCATTCCCAATAATTACCAAATAAACTGCATACATCAGAATTTCCTCATGTATTCCTCTGTGGAGGACTTAAAGCACCGCTTTTTAGGTGCCACTACAGTGTCTATGAATGTACTCTATACTTTTTCTAAAACCGCTCTATTTTAGTATTTTGGCGTACTATTGAAATGAACTCCATTTCATTACAATTGTTTTTATTTTTTCACATCTTGATTACCTTTCGGGTCTTTTATTGATAATATTTTTATTGCTTATAAAATTATTGCATGATTGATGAATGAAATACTAATAATAAATGATGATAACTACAGAAAATACATCATCCACAGGTGTATGAAATTATTCACTTTCTGACCTCATTTTTGTTTTCTGTGTTTTCATTGGTGTTTCTATTGCAGTCGCGGAAAAATAATTTCTTGAAGAGATTATTGTTCAATACGGTTTTCAAACTTACTATTTCAGTAAGAATAAAAATAAAAAACTCCTGATCAAGATGATATCTTCAATTTGGCAATAACCCGATGAATAATAGTTGAAATACGAGTGAATATGTCATGAGAGCTTATAAAAAATCTGTATAATAGCTTGAGACAAATAAAAATGTTCACTCGTTTTTTTTTTCATTTCCTACCATAACAGAAAGCATCATGAAGAACGTTCATTAGTTGAAAGAGAAAGAACTTAGTTGAGAAACTCTTTCATGAAAGTATATAAACGTCCGGATGATTTTTCCAAGGAAAACTATTCAAAAAGAAATATGTCTTATTCAAATCAGTCAGATGACAAAAGCGACCATATTGTCATTCCAGGCAAGCAGTTTAAGAGTATGTTATATTCTACCAACATTTCAAATAGAGAAATCACTTTACAGTAGAAAATTGATTTATATCTCCTAATGATAACTAATAACCACATAGACCGGGAGATGGTGGAAGATTTCGGTAATTCATTTTTTACAGTATGGCGCTTTTTAGGGTAATAATGGATTGAAATTGCTCGAAAAGCTGGAGGTGTCAAACAATTCCTTTCATAAAAGTTCTTCAATTTATGGGTATTTTAACAACAACAAAAAAAGGCGCTCGCTATATGAGATACTTCTCCGGTAGGTGTTTAGGATCGCCATACTTTTTTGGATATGTTATTCTAAAATGTTTCAATTCATTTCTTACAGGCTGTTATTTTCAATAATTGTTTTTATTGATTTTGTATGAACTTCACCACACCTTACAATTTTGAAGGTCCAAAATACACGCCATATCCCCTCAAACATGTCATTTTTCAAAATTTTAAAAACTATTTCTCTCACCTCAAAATTAGGTCTAGTAGTTTTTTTATGATCAGAAACATCATTGTTATAATGTCATTTCTGTAGAGTGGGTGATATACATACACTGTACTTGTGATTTGTGATGCTCTGTTTGGAACCTTTGGTGTAGTAATGAATATTACGATCACCAAGTGATCATCTTCAGGAGGAATATTAAACTAAATATACTTACAATGTTATTCTTATACCATAGATACCACTTCTAGATACCTGCATCTTGAGTGTCAAAAATTAATTTGACAATATTAAATCAATTTAACATTGTTTCCTTAAGTGAAAGTCAGGTAAATCTAATTTTCAAAATATTATTTCAACAAGCTATATAGTATGCTATTAGGTATTGGTCCACCATCGTTATTCATGATATTATTATATTTACTTATTTCTACACCCTCATAGGCATCTAAATGCCTGTTGTTGTTAACTTGCCTAACTAATCTTAGTGAACTGAAGTCTATGGAATGGTTTTGTTTCAAAATAAGATGGGCGACTGCTGATTTTTCTGGTCTTCCATATTTTAGGTGTGCTAAGTATTTTTTATATCTAATTTCAATAGATATTCTTGTCTGACCAAAATATTTTGCATATTTTGCATCGCAGTCCTTACATTTGATTTCGTGAATTCCAGACTTTGTCTTTTGAATATCCCAAAAGGCTCTGTAGTGTATGACTTGTTTTAAAAACCGCCTTCATACCTAGTTCTTTCAAAATCTTTCCAGAATTCTTCGTGTATTAATGGTATAGAACAGAAATATATTTCTTTCGGTTTTCGTTTCGTCGTGGTTAAAAGATTTCGTTCATTCTCAACTTCCTCATTATATCATCTACAATAACCCTCGAAAAACCGTATATTAATACATTTTTCGAATCGCTCTGGTGTTTTGATACTTTTTTGTTGATAATGTCCTATACCTACCTCTATCTGTTTTCGAGATAAAAAATAAATTGTGCTAAATATGGTCCAAAACATAGCCTTAATTGAAATTAAGTACATCAGTACTCTCAATTCATGAAAAGTTGATATTTTGATGATAGTTTGGACAAACTCGAAATATTCAAATAACACCAAGAAATCGACTCCATATCATACAGGGCGTGCTAAAATTACTATTATTTCCATTGTGCATAAAAGTAGTCGAAAGTTCATTTTTTTAAATGAAACCCCCTGTATATTACTCGATAAATTGAAAGATGGTGAAAAATGCTTCAAGATNAATAATCAATATTTGCATTCATTTTTGGCGAGTTTTTGAAACACCGTCAATAACCATTTATCAATTACTTATAAAAGTCACCAAACTGTCATAAGCTTGATATTTTCACGGCTATCTAGAAATGAAATTCTTTGAAAATTATTTTTTGTTCAACTGTTATTGAAGATCTCTTTGATAGAAACACTTCAATCAGAACACCAACCAAAAATCATTCAGAAAAGTTCACACATGCAGTTCGTGCTATTGGTAATATTAAATCCCTGTGAAGTTACTGACGATGACGAAGTAGTTTTCAGTCCAACTGTAGAAAGTCCTTCATGACTAACCAATAATCCTCTTTAAAATAACGTGAGTATGTAATTGTAACATATGGCTTGTAATCCAAAGATCGTGTGTTCAAATCCCATTGACCCTATAATTTTTTTTATTATCAGCAGTAACGTTATACGAAAAAATTTGTATGATACATTTGTTAAAAGTGATTTTATTCTGCTCGTGAGTTCGCTCCACTTGCTGACGCTAGTTTTGCAATAATCCCCACTCAAAAATTAAAATGCCACTTTCAACACTTGTAGGTAAAACGTGAATAACAATTTTTCCACAAAAACGGCTTCATTAAGAAAACTTGACGATTCAGGTACAGGGACATGTATATCATCTTGTAGCATTTTTCACCATCTTTCAATTTATCGAGTAATATACAGGGGGTTTCATTTGAAAAAATGAACTTTCGACTACTTTTATGCAGAATGGAAATAATATTAATTTTAGCACGCCATGTATGATATGGAGTCGATTTCTTGGTGTTATTTGAATATTTCGAGTTTGTCCAAACTCAAAATATCAACTTTTCATGAATTGATGTACTTAATTTCAATTAGGGCTATGTTTTGGACCATATTTAGCACAATTTATTTTTTATCCCGAAAACAGATAGAGACAGGAATAGGACATTATTAACAAAAAAGTATTAAAATACTAGAGCGATTTCAAAAATGTATTAACATACGGGGTGATCTATTTAAAAAAATATAATTGCTAGGACATTTTGATAGAAGTGGCAACCCCGCAATGCTGAAAATATTTTAGATCGATAGAACAGGTAAGAAAATGTGATAGGTGGAATTTTCAGAAAAATCCTGCTTTGCGTTTTCCAGAAACGTCTAACCTACCATCGACCGTGAGTCACGCTGTATACTTTGTGACGGTACTCTGTACTGTCACAGTGGCGTTCTCCCTCAAAGATATTGAAAATGATTTTTTTTGTAAATCCATCAAAAATGCTGCAGCATGGGCTGATTACTGAAAATGCGTGGCATTTAAAAAATTCATAGTTTTAACTGGAAGTTGGAGCTGAAATACGTGACTAAAAATCAATTTTCCGGATATGGCACCACTTTTGACTTCACCGTAAGGATGGATTAATTTTTACTGAATCATATTTTTT